GTTGACATCTCAAACTCAAAATTGAACTCATTTTTTCCACTAGAAAACCACTTCTCCTATCAGAGTTCATTATATTAAAAGAACTGCTTCTCTCCTTTATTTGAGATTCAGAAACTCAGCCATTAACATAAACAAATTACTACTGAGAACCCACAATGTATGTGATACATACTAAACAGCATAGCATTGACAAGGCACATTCTCTGACCCCAAGAAATTCAGTCTAGTGGAAGAGATATGGAATAGAAAGAGAATGACAATGCAATGTGATAAGTAGTCTAGAAGATGTTATATTCAGAGGCCTAAGCCAATATAGAGACAGGATCAATCAAGGCATCAGAGAATTAAATCATTCAAACACTATTTGTTGAATTCCTACAGTACTCTAAGCCCTAGGGTTGAAGCCACAAATAAAATATGGGAGATATAGCTTCAAAAAATACAGAAGATTTTTAGAGTCACACCATTAACCAGGGATACTGGCAAAGAATAAGTAGGCAAATAAGATAATTCCAGCTAGGGACAGAACTCTCCAGGGTGTAATGGAAAAGTTTGCAATGTGTCCCCTGCACAGAGGCACAGCTGAGGATGGGGTCTGCACAGGCCCGGAGGAGGCTCCTTTTTCTAATTATAGCAAAGGCACTATGTACTGCCTTGGTAGTCCTGAATCTTACAAAACAGTGAAACCAAGTGATGTGGAGACTATTTTAGATGAGGTGGTCAGGGAAGGTCTTGGCACTGAGATCCAAATGATGAGACCATCTAAAGAAGAGTCTTTAGGGCAGAGAACACTCAACAGAACAGCTCTGAGGCAGAAACAAACTTGGTGAGTGTGAGAACAGAAAACAAAGCTGGTGGGGGAGGGGCTGGAAAACCAGAGGTGCCCATGTGTGCAGAGACATGATATTCTGAAGGTGTTTTGGGGTTGGGGGGAGTGGGTGTGAGTGTTAGAAAATGAGTTAGAAAGAGAAGATTCCATCCAGATTTTGGAGGGTTAGCAATAAACCAGTGAAAAGTCAAAGTGGGAAAGGGAGATTGTATGATTAGAACGTTTAGTTTTGTTTTTGTTCTAGGGAGAAAAGTGAGAAGCATAAAGAGAATAAAAAGGGATGATAACAGATGAGAGATGTCGCCAAAGTTAGAACAGCAGCACTTGGTGTCTAATTGGATACTGTGCGTGAGAAAAAGGAAAATTTGAAAGGTCACCTGTGATGCCCCCTTCCTCAGTCACACCTTCGGACCCCAAGGTCGGCCACTGTCTTCTGTCACTTGTCTCTCAGTCCCCCGCTTCTTTCTTATCTGTGAACCCCTGTGTAATGTTCACATACGGGAGCACTGTGCATCCCACAGTGCTTGTCACACTGTCACTCAGAGCTCTATTCTCCTGGCCTGTCTCATAACCCCGCTTAGACTGTCAGCTGCTTAAAGACAAGAACCCTGTCTTACTGATCTTCACATGAGTCAGACAATTTTTGCCACATTACAGTTGAAGGAAAAGAGAACCAATGAGTGAAAAATAACTACATACTAAAGCATAGAAGGGTGGCTTATAACAGGCAATTGTAACACAAACACATACACACACACATACACACACACTACTCAAGGCCTAGTTATTCACAGAGTGAACATCTTTACACAAACTTAGCTGTAAATTCATTTAAGGCCACTCATATTTATTGGGTACATTTTTCTTACACCAAATACACCTAATAATACTGCTCAAGAAATGAAACCACCTGCTCCTAAATAATCACAGAAATCAATAAAGTTGCCAAGTGAAGAGATAGATGAGTAAGCCAAGCAGTGAAGCCCTCATGGTCTAATGTAGGGTTAGACTATGGTGGTCACCTCCCATGGCTCCTGGCTCTCAGGACCAGCCCCCTCCCACCACTGAGCTTTCACTGGGGTACGCGAACCATAGGATTTTATAAGAAGAAGCAAATTACCCCAGATAAGAAAAGTTCATCTTACACAGTCATCTCTCCTGAAAGATGAAGATGATTTATACCAACTTTGACCTACATCACTAATCTCCGGCTCTGGTTGGTTACATGGACAATCTGTAAAGATTCAGTCATTTCTGTTTCTTATTTGGGCATGAGGTTGCAGAAAGTACATGTGGAAAAGACAGCACTGTAACGGAGTGCCACATTTCAACATGTTCATGTGCATTTCTAGTTTGCATTTTAGCTTCAATAAAAATTTCTTTAATAAAAGGGGACATTTGGGGGCACCTAAGTGGCTTTGTCAGTTAAGCGTTCAATTCTTGATTTCAGCTCAGGTCATGATCCCATGGTTCGTGTGATCCAGACCCATGTTGGGCTCTGCACTGTCAGTGCAGAGCCTGCTTGGGATTCTCTCTCTCTCTCTGCATCTCCCCAACTTGTGCTCTCTCTCAAAATAAACATTTAATAAGAATGAATAAATTAAAATAAAAACATAAAAAAGGACATTCGGTGAAGAGAAATGGAGTATAGAGGGAGAAACTGTAACTGAACCTGACCTATTAGTATGGCACATGAAGCCCAGGAAGTCCTAGAAAAGTTCCTTAAAACAAGCTGTCCTGGATGTGGCAATCAAGGCCAACATGGCGCCCACACCAATGGGTAGGAGGCCAGGAAAGCAAGAGGCTCTCTGTACATCTTGCCCACTGTATAATTGACAGACAGCATGGGGCAATAGGAGTCACATTATCTGTGTTCTTAGTAAGAAAGAGTAAAGGAGACATTCTGTGAAGTATTTATAATGTAGTGGAGGGATATTCCACGGTGTTGAGGATTAAACCAGCAACTAAAGTCTATCCTCAGAAGTGAACCGAAGTGCAAAGCCAGGCTTCAGAGCATGGACCTGTTCACCTGCTCTTAGTGTTACAGATTCTGTAAACCAGTGTGGCCTTGGTGATGTCTTCATAGACTGAATCACTATAAGATCCTATCACTCAGAGAATCACAACCTGTCCATTCCGGACTCCTGTCAGTTTTATTTACTTATAAACTGAATGCTGCCTTGGCATGAATTGCTCCTCAGATGACAAATGAACCTGGCTGCCTACAACAGGAATACCACCCTTATTTTCCCAGGGCTCTGGGCTTGTCTTCTTGGGAATGAACTTGGGTTGTGGCCTCTCTGGGGGACTAAGGGGGTGGGTAGCCCTCAGAACTGCTGGAATCCTAACAATCCTGCTAATAATCCTGACTAACAATCCTGCTAATAATCCTGACTATGCTCATTCAACTCAACTGAGAATGGGAAGATACTGGGCCAGGGGAGAACTAATTATTTTCCTGAAGGGTAGCAATAAAAAGCCCTGGACAGATGTTACCTACACAGAAAACACAGAAATCTCTTTCCTAAGGGTCCCAGCAGAGGACACAGCCAGAAGAGACATAGCTGCTACCAAATGAGTAACCCCCAAGAGCCCTATCTTGGAGCCTAATGACACATTCCCAAGGCTGCACCCTGAGCTTGATGGCTGTGTCTACATACTTTTCTCTCACCCAGGAAGCTTCTGAAAATGCAAGACAGTGAGGGTGACCTTATTACATGAATACCTCAGAATATCCCTTATCTTATATTTTAAGTAAATAACTGGGTAACTTCAGTACTTTATTATTAAAAATAGATCTCTCAAAATACACTTCTCAAGGGAAGTGGTAGCCCAGGTCTGAGGGCATGACCAAAGAGCTGCTTCTATTCTAGAGGGGTCTGGAAAGCAGGAGGAAGTAACTCAACCTCTGCCCCTATGTCCTTGCAGCCTCAGGGCAGAGCAGACCATCCAGGCCTCATTATCTTAAGTATTTGTTGTCCAAGAGCTTGTAGGAAGAAGACTGAGGAAGGGCCCAGCATGGAAAGGCACCCTCTACCTTGCTACTCCAAGTGTGGCTTGCTGAGCAGTGAGGTTGGCAAAATAGACCCCACCTGGAGGCTGGTTAGAGATGCAAGATCTTGGGTCTTACCCCTTTCTTGCTGAATCAGAGTCCGTATTTTTGTAAGTTCCTCCACTGATTCATGTATACTTTGAAGTTTGAGAAGTCCTGGCCCCGTGAACTGACAGATTACAAATGAATCTCACCTCAGACATCTCTCCCTACAAACTATAACATCCCCATGTCAGCCAGTTTTCCCTCCAGCATCAAATATAACAGTGCAATGTACAGTAAGTCAGCAGCAGGGTGAATTTGCCAACCTTGCAAAAAAGGCAGTATTTCATAGAATTAATAAACGTGAGCTTGGAGCACCACTCAAGCCACACACACACACACACACACACACACACACACACACACACACACAGCATTGGCAAGCAAGGGAATGACAGCCTTAGACCCCTTACCAAGAGAAGGGGATCTCATCTATAAGGATGGGGTCCTTCCTTCAAAAGGGAATCATTTGAATATCAAAGAATTCCAACAGGCCCTTGGGGAAAACGATGAGCCTCATGAATATCTTTTTAAGAGTGACCCACTTTATGATTGTGTCATGAAAGTGGAACATACAATTTTGTTGAAAAACTATGCTTGAAAAGAAAAATCAACCCTCCTTTCAGTCTTTAATCAGTCTAAGAATTTAATCATTCTATTTTAGTGATAACCTAAAGTATATTAAGTGAGATAAATTATACTTTCTTAAGTTTGAGTCCCATTTTCTAAGACAAGTCTAATCAAATCTTGCTGTCACTATTTCACATGACATTAGGTCACATTTTATGGGTGCTCCTGCTAACTGGACTTTCCCTGGGTCAGTTTTTCCTCCAAAAGTAAGACCCACTCAACTCTACTGTCACTGTTACATATTCCTTTTCCCTTTTCCCTTATGGGGCTCCTTTTTGGTACCTCTGAGTAGCGTAGCATAACTGATACCAATTACTCCACAGCTGAGTGAAGCTTTCTTTTTACTATCCTGTTTCCTGGTTGGAAGTTTCAGTGCATTGTGGTGCCACAGAAAGGGGTTCACTGTGGGGGATCATAGCTCCAACGGCAGATATATTCAGTGGTTACCTTATCAACCATAAGGAAGTTCTCCAGCGTCTCCCCATTGTCACAGGTGACATTACCGACCTCTCTTACGGCTCTAGGCAGGATCTCCTGTACCTCCTGGGCGATCATTCCTAGACAAAAACACTCCCAACAGGTTTAGTCAGGAAAAGACCTCTCTGGAGAACATCCTCCCAAGCCTACATCAAAATGGAAGGCTGATAGCCCCCCAGGACATCTTTGCAAATACATGCTTATCCCTTCACAGCTTTTGCTTTGATCTATGATACATTTGAAGAAGGAATTTTGAGCCCATAACCACCATAGGACTAAAAGTAGGGGTGTCATTTCTTGACTTTTCCTTGAGACTCTGGGCCAGATGTTGGAGGGAGGGAGTAAATACCTTGAAATCCCTGTATAAAGAAGTATGGGAAAGGCATCAGCTTGATTTCCTTTAGTTTCCTGGAGGAGGATTTGCCACCTAAATGGTCCCTCTTTCTCTAAGACTCCTGGATACGAGTATAAACACCACTGTGTCCCTTCTCTGACCCAGACTGACCATACCTCTCCCTCTCTGGCATCTGCTCAGTGTCACACCTCTTACAGCTAGAGCTGCCATCTGTCCTCCCCCCCGCCCCCCGCCCCCAGCCCTGAGCAAGATGACTCCAGTGAAAAGGAACAATGTATTCAAAATATTTGGCCAGTACCTTGGGGTGCAGGAATAGCGATGGGGTTGTTGAGTCAAGATGACAGAAATTTCTGTCACCTTTCCTGTGCTAGTGATTACGGATTTCACAGAGGAAATCACTGCCATAGCACACAACCTCCACATAAAGAGGGAATTAAACTTTCAAGAGTTGACAACATGAAATTAAAAAGGGAACTTGTGATCATACCTGTTTCATGGGCAGTGTTTATTCCCATTGAAGATGCGAACTCAGGTTTGTAGTCGTATTCAACAATCCTCATTTGGGCTATTCGCTTCAGCTGCTCGCTTGTGTCAACCTAATTTAATTAAAGAAGAGCGGATTTCACCCACTGAGATATTTCCCATTCAAATCAATGCCCAAAGAGATCCAGAGAAACTAGGAGTGTTGACAGCAGGGCGGTTCCTCCTTCTTGCCCGAACTATTTTAAGAAAAGTTTGTTTTTCTCCTCAGAGAAACCAAAGCTTCAAGGTCCATGTCGGTGACTTCCATCCCTGACAAACGAAGACAGGGTTTTTATGTCTAAATTACAGGGTGAAATCGCCCCCATTCACTACTCTTGCCTTTTTTTCTCTCCTTTGAGGGGTGAACTCTCCTTCTGAGAATGGAGACTGATCACTTTAGAGAGAAAAAAATCGCTACTCAGGATTGCAAGGGATCGTTTCCAAATGGACATACATTAAAACACCAAATATAGGCCAACCTTGTATTTATGAACTGAAAATGCTTAGTTCAAGTAACAACCTTTAAGGAATGGGTATAACTACTATATTATTGATTTGCTTTTGGACATCTCACTGGAAGACATTTCCTCAAGTGGCAGGTTGCAAGCCTGTATTGTCCACCTGCTGGACCTTCCAAGATCCAGACTTTCCTCTCCTACAGATGGCTTCTCCCCCAAACCACTCTGGGCAGTGATGGCATACTTCTCTGAGCTCACTTCTTTTACAGGTTATGAAGGTATTCCCAACTTTCACTGCCAATTCCTCAAAATAATGTCACTGGGTCCCAGCAAAATGATCACAATACACAACAAAGTTAGTGTTTCCTAAAGCTAAATATGTTTCATTCAAAGGATTCTCTTTTGAGGATTTTTAAAAATGAATTCATGGTAATAGCAGAATCAATTTTTTTAATGACCTTATTCTATAAGTAAAATGCTGGCAGCCCTTTTTCTTTTTTCTTTTTTTAAAAAATTTTTATTTATTTTTGAGAGAGACAGAGAGAAAGAGTGCGAGCAGGTGAGGAACAGAGAGAGAGAGGGAGATACAGAATCTGAAGCAGGCTCCAAGCTGTCAGCACAGAGCCTGACATGGGGCTCAAACTCACAAACTGTGAGATCATGACCTGAGCCAAAGTTGGATCTTAACAGACTGAGTCACCCAGGTGCCCTGCCCTTTTTCTTTTAGGATTTTCTCTTCAGTTATAATTTTCTTTTAAGATATAATGACTACAAAACCAGTGGTCTCTTGGCAATTAAAATTACACTGCTTGGACATTCATCCATGTATTAGAGTAACCAAAAGTGCTTTGTTATTCTTGTTTTATGAAAACTCCTGACATAGCCTTCAACTCCCATGACCCTCTCTGTTGAATGAGTTGAAAAGCTCCTCCAATATCATTAAAAGCTCCCCATCCTTCACTGGTTTAGCTGATTGTGAAAAATTGTGGCTTGACACTTAACTGGCTAAATGGGCAAACTGTCCTTCAGGTACTTACTGGGAAGTATAATTTGGAGCTCACTGTTATTTTGATACTTGCTGCTATTAAAAGCTTGGTTCAATTCATTTATTCATTGTTTTATTCAACTAACATTTAACAATCACCTTCAACATCGAATGCATTACACTAAGTGTTGGGACTTTAAAAAATGATTGCTTTTTAAAATTTGTGGTCAACTAATTGTGTAACCTGAAACCATAAACCTCATAGAAGGGAACACAGGTACTAATTTCTCTGACATCAGTCACGGCAACATTTATATCTCCTAAGGCAAGGGAAACAAGAGCAAAAATAAAACTATTGGGATGACATCAAAATAAAAAGCTTTTGCACAGTGAAGGAAACCATCCACAAAACAAAAACGTAACCTACTAAATGGGAGAAGATATTTGCAAATGATATATTTGATAAGGGGTTAGTATCCAAAATATATAAAGAAGTTATACAAAAAAACAAATAATCTGATTAAAAATGGGCAGTCAAGCTGAACAGACACTCTTCCAAAGAAGACATCCAGAGGGCTGACAGGCACATGAAAAGATGCTCATTGTTACTAATCACCATAGAAATGCAAATTAAAACCACAGTAAGATATCACCTTACACCTGTCAGAATGGCTAGAATCAAAACGAGAAGCAATAACAAGTGCTGGCAAAAATGTGGAGAAAAATGTACTATTAGTGGGAACATAAATTGGTACACTATTATGGGGAATATAAATTGGTACAGCTATTGTGCATTGTTAGTGAGAATTAAAATAGTACAGCCAGTGTGGAAAACAGTATGGAAGTTCCTTGAAAAGTTATAAATAGAAATACCATATGTTCTAGTAATTCCACTGGTGAATACCCAAAGAAAGTGAAAACATTAATTCAAAAAGATATATGCACCCCTATGTTTATTGTAGCATTATTTACAATAGCCAAGATATGGAAGCAACCCAAGTGGCCAACCCTAGATGAATGGGTAAAGAAGATGTAGTATATTCATACAATGGAATATTACTCAGCCATTAAAAAATTGTGAGGTCTTGCTATTTGAGACAACATGGATGGACCTCGAGGGGATTATGCTAAGTGAAATAAGTCAGATAAAGACAAATGCCATCTGGTTTTACTTATATGTGGAATTAAACACAAACAAAATCAAAAACGAAATAAATGAATAAGCAAAAAGCAGGTATAGAGAACAAACTGATGGTTGCCAGAGGTTTGGCGGTGGGAGAATAGGCAAAATAGGTGAAGGGAAGTGGAAGATACAAGCTTCCAGGGGCACCTGGGTGGCTCAGTCGGTTAAGCATCCAACTTTGGCTCAGGTCATGATCTTGAGTTCCGTTGAGTTTGAGCCCCGCATCAGGCTCTGTGCTGATAGCTCAGAGCCTGGAGCCTACTTTGGATTCTGTGGCTCATTCTCATTCTCAAACTCTGTCTCTCAAAAATGAATAAATGTTAAAAAAATTTTTTTAAAAGATGCAGGCTTCTAGTTATGGAATGAAGTCATGGGAATAAAAGGTACAGCACAGGGAATATAGTCACTGGAGTTGTGATAGCATTGTATGGTGGCTATACTTGTGACGATAATAGCATAACACACAGAGTCATTGAATCACTATGTTGTACACCCAAAACTAATGTAACATTGTGTGTAAACTATATTCACATAAAACATAAATAAACAAAATAAAAATTAAGAAAATTTTAAAAATAAAATGAAGGATAAGGGTGCCTGGGTGGCTCAGTCGGTTAAAAATAAAATGAAAATGAATAAATGGGTTTTCTAATTGTCCTGACTTTGTAGCATACTGTTTCTATGGGATTACACATTCCAAGTTTCCTAAAATTTAAACTTATTAAATAAAATTTTTAAAAAATGTTTGTGGGATGCCTGGATGGCTCAGTCAGTTAAGCCTCCAACTTCAGCTCAGGTCATGATCTCATGGTGTGCAGGTTTGAGCCCATGACAGGCTCTGTACTGACAGCTCAGAGGCTGGAGCCTGCTTCGGATTCTATGTCTCCTCCTCTCTCTGCCTCTCTCCCACTCACACTCTGTCTCTCTCACTCTCAATAAAAATATTTTTTTTTAATGTTTGTGGACTAGATAGGCAGACCCATCACATATTACAATGTGAGAAATGCAGGGTGAAAATGGAATTATGGATAGAGAATTTGGCAGCTTCAAGGAAAACCCCAAAATATTCCTAGGGGAGCATAAAGGAAGGCTTCCTAGAGATGGCAAAGTCCCACTGAGATCTTGGCTTATTTTGATCTTCAAACTAGTTCTGTTCCTTTCACTTCAGGCCTTTGGCTCAGGGCATCTTCCAGCTTCAAAAGCTTTTCCTTCCCATTCCTACCTTCTCCTCCCCCAACTTAAACATCCTTTCACCAGGGAAGTGTTTCTTGATTTCCAACACTAGGAAGGGTCCCTTCACCTTACGTGCTAATGGGAGCTGTTGTTTTTCTTCGTAGCACTAATCAAAAGTATCACCAGACAAAGTTGTGTCACCTTCATTATCTGTCTTCCCTATAGGATATACATCTCATGAGAGTGAGGACATATTTAAGGCCATGATATTCTGTTCACCACTTTATTACCAGTTTCTAGTACAGTTCCTTGCATGTAGTTGATACTCAACTAACATTTGTTAAACTAACAATTTAATAAATAAACCTAATAAAACTAAATTTAAGATAGGAGTTAGGGAAAGATGCAGGGTAGGGAGAAGGGACGGAAAGGGTGAGATTGAGACCGGGATGCAAGGTGGAATGTACACCGTGAGTAAAACCCCAAGGGAGTCAGTTCCCTGAATGATGTCTGCACAACCGGGGCAGAGTTTGGCATTACTAGACTGTAATGATTATGGCCAGAGTAGACAGGGCCTTGCAGGCCATGCTAAGAAGGAGCAGTCACAATCTCACATTGCCCTGTGCACACAGCTCTCTCTGTGAGCCCCTTCATTCAGCAAATATTTAGTGAGCAGCTACTGTGTGCTAGGTGCTGTCCTAGGCATTGGAGATGTAATGAATATTTCTTACTCAGAGTTTAGATTTTTTTTTTTAAGTTCTATCTTTGAGGGCAAGGCTCACATCTAGTTGATCTCAGGACCTTTGGAGTGCCCAGCAGAGTGTATCACATGTTACAAACACCCTAAACCTTCAATGAAAGAAGGCAGCATGAAAGAGTGAAGGCAGTGAAACAGTAGAACAATCCCTGTCAATCAGGAGCCAGTGTGGACTGGCCTTGTGCTAGCTAGGCCCCACCCAGTTCCCCATTCCCTGCACCCTTGGGAGTCCTGTGGCTGCTTTGCCTACTTTTCATTATCCCTGTGGTTCCTACACAAGCCCTCACGGGTGACCTTTGCTACCGACAAGAAGCAGAGGAGACTGTGTCCTCACTGAGGCTGTCCAAGCTACACAGAGGGAACATGACCCCTGGTGACTAAGCTGGATCCTTTAATACATTTTCCCCTGAAGGCATATTGCGGGACAAAGCAAAGTGTGGGATTGATGGTCTAATTACCATTGTGCTTCAGAGAGATTTTTGGCTGAAGAATATTCTGATGGTTGGTTTGGGGATCTAAACTCCTTCTATGACGTTTCTGTAAGAAAATGCTCTTCTGGTTTCTAATGTGGGGCTGTAGACGTACCAAAGCTAAATATAAACTGCCCATACCACACGCTTCCTATGTGTACACTTGACCCAGGGAAAGCCCTCGAGGCAAGGGCTATCTATGCCTTCTCAGAATCCTCCTCCAGGAACCAAACACTGGCCAACACTTAACATCACACCTTGCTCATCAGTGTGGGTTGAGTAAGAAGCTAGAAGCTGAACTCAGGTGTCTGCTACAATCTTGCCCACAGCAATTTTGGAAAGTTTTGACCCTGAATGTAGATAGCCATCATGGTCATGCTGCCTCACGCCCAAGGCTTCTCTATCATTAACCCCAGAAGTGCACCACAGAAAAGTCATTCTTGCCTATGGGCCTCCACAGTTGGTTCAGGGAGGGAGATCTTGTTATCCACCATCTGGCCACAGCCTAGACTATTAGTCTCGCATCAGGAAAAGCTTGAGTAACACTGGCTCACCCCAATTTGAGGAATTTCTTCATTTGGCTCCTGGCCCTTGGAGCATTGAATCTTAACTGATTTCTTTCCCGGTTTTTATTTTTGAATCTCTTGTAGCCTTATTTTCAGCCTTCATCATAGAATTTCACTGATGCATTCCAATTTCAGCTTCCTCACTTTTTTGCATTGGCCTTGATGATTTTCATGCTCCTCTGTTTTCCAGAATATCATCTCCACCCTAATTTTGCTGTTTTCACTGAAAGAGCTGCCTTTCCTTCTGCAGTCTGTAGTCTCAACAGGAAACAGTGTCAGAAGTTAGGCTGCTCCTCTTCAAGGCCAACCTCATTTTCCCAGTGCTTCCGGGGCATGGGGTTCAATCTCATTTGCTTTATCTTCTCTGTGTCTTGTCTACGTGTCCATATGAGTACAGGGATCTCCACGAGGACTCTCTATGCAGAGTGCTCACGTGCTTAATACCTACAAAACAGCCTCTGTTGCCCTGAGTGAGGAGGCACAGAGCCAGGGCAAGGAAGCAACTTATATTCATTTCTCCCCATCATCACAGTACCGGGCAATTGTGTTGGCCACTGTTTTGCAACAGCTCATCAGAGCTCAGAACCCAGCTCTGGTTACCATGCATCCTTTAAGAATGAGAAATTGCCTCCAGTCCTATGCTTATAATCAGATTAACCAAGGATCCACTTCCCAGAGCATTTGGAGGAATGGCTATTCTTAAAAGTCGGACAAACTGAGTCAGGAGGTGAAGATGAAGTTCACACATCTGTCAGCCCCATCATCAGTGTTACCATCATCTCTTTTGTCTGTAATGGTGAACAGGACTGATAAGTGTGTCTCTCGTCATTGGATGCGGGCCCCCAAATGTGCAGTGACTCGATTGGGTGGAAGCTGGCAGCACAGGCTATGAAAAAATTCACCCAAGGCAGAACAAAGGAGACAGAAGTATACTAAATATACCACAACAGGAGTGGCGGGCAGGACAGTGAGGGAAAGGCTGTCTGCAATGAGGTAGTGGATGGGGGCTGTATTTAGATGGGGAAGATGAGGAGGCATGGGGATGTATGGACTTCTTTTGGTAACCACATCTGATTGTAAGTAGCCCATTGGTTACTTAAGGCCTATGGATATTCTGAGGTGCGTCGTCTGATGGGCCTGTCTGTGTTCAGCATGCTGGTCCCTGTGAGCCCTTCCTACATTCCATCACTCAAGTCTGTGGCCTAAAAGCAGCCTCTACAATAAGGTTTCTAGAGACTTATATTTCACAAATGTGGATAGGCCTATTAAGAACAAATATATTGATATGAAAGAAGTTAATAAATGAATTACATATAATTTGTGTATTATAGAAGTAAATAATGATAATATCTATTTGTCCCGCTAAAGAATGCTTCACGTACATGAGCTTAGAAGAAGCCCTTAACAGGAGTGAGCTTTCTCTGTTCACAGAAGAATAAACAGAAGCATAGAACATCTCTGGGCCAAGGTCCCTGTGCCAGTTCTTGCCAGAACTGGGACTAGAACCCTTCCATCATGCTGCCGTGAGCAGCCGGGGGATACAGGAATTCTACACTGGGAGCCTGGATTGGGGTGACATTTTATTTATACAAGAAGGTGTCGTGGAAGGGATTTGAGAAGTTCTAGGGAAGCTTGTTATTTTAAGACAATATGTTTTCTTCAGACAAGGGGCACCAACAGAAGACATCTGGTAAGTGGATTCGGGGGAAAGCCTAACGGTAGCGGTAGTGGGACGAGTTGTGGGGGACTTTCCCAGCTTGTTATCTTCCATTTGCATTTAGATAAGACCTGGTATTGTATAGCCAATTGCAAAAATAAGTTTGAGTTGGCGTGATCTGAAACACAGACAGTTTATCTCTTTCTAAAAGCCAAAAAAGCACAATATCTGGGACTGGAATCAGGAAACGTACGTGAGAACTTTCTAGCCCTAAGAGTTCCCATCGGGCTAGTAGGTCACAGCTCTTCGAACATGAACCACAGCTTTGCAATCAGTATAAAAGTCTACAATTACAACCATTCTTTGGAATGCACTCAGCAAAGGAGGACATTCCTTGGCCGGTTTAGAAAAACCAGTGCAGATTTGCACTGGGAAAGGAATGCAGTCTGGAAGAATGACCAATGATTTACAGATTGTGTCTCCTATTCGCTAAAAAAGAATAAGGGAAGGAGGTTAAAAACACAATTCTGGACAACCTCAAAAATGCTTATAGGAACAGCAGTGTGAGTGAGAAGGTGGGGAAGTGGGAGAAGCAGGAAATGGGAAACAGATTTCAAGGATGGAAGAGCTCAAACCAGGAGTGCTCTGGCTAAGGGATTCACATCTTAAACCTAATGTCTTCATGGCAGTTGTGACTTTCCAAGGTGATTCAGTACTTCTTATCTCAATGGGTCAAAACAAGTAAAGGGGTCAAGCAGAGATGCACCATTTCCATCATACGATGAAGGCACTGGGTTGGGGTGGAGTTGTTTTGCTCAGGGCGAGCCCAAAGTGAAGCACCGCCTGATTTTTAAGCTTGATTTCTGCCTTCCACTGGGTGACTGTCTCTCCACAGAGTGAGAAGGTCTTGGCCCTGAGCTTCAGGTGATGGGCTTGACCTCGTGGAGGCGAGGGGTGGGGGAAGAGGAGTGTCTCCAACTACTCCTCAGAGAAAAACAATGAATGGGGAAGAGAATGGCTGACAGGGCTGGTCCTTGGGACTCTGGGAGGGAGAGACTGGGGGTCCAGGAGAAATACAGGCAGGGACTGGACTGAGAGAGTGCCCAGAAGATGAACAGGGAGATGGGCATTTGGAGACAGAAAGGAAAAGGCAAACTCCAACGGCTGACAATGTGTGGAAGGAAGGGCAATGGCCCATGGAAAACAGCTCAGAGACTTCTGCTTGGGAAGCCAGTGCTATGCTATCACTGCCCACTGCTCCTGGCAGGTGAATCTATTCTCCTGGGTAGGGGCTATGTTACCCTTTCAGCAGAGATGCCTGTTGGCTCCAACACTCACAACCGTTATGCATTATGTTCATCCCCTATTAACAGACGACATGTAGAGATGCTCTGTGCGACGTGTGTCAGAGTCCAGGAGTGCCCACCTGACTCACACCTGAGTCACACCTGACTCAGGTGTCAGCAGAGGCACCCAAGGCCTGCCCTGTGCTCACCTCCTGGATATTCTGCTTTGCCCTGCTGTCAGAGGGATGCATAATTGTCCCCATCACTTTCGCGTTGCCACAGACGACCAGGGCTTCATCCGGCGCATCTGTATTGATTCCCACTCGACCATGACAAACAACAGATTCTGGAACTTGTCCTCGCTGCCATAATGCATCACTGTCATTGTCAAACTGCCCAGGGTTAGAGGCCTGGAAAAAATACAGAACGATGTTACCATTGAAGTTACAGTAGCAAACAGATGATTGTTTGTTTCCTCAGAGCAGAGGAAAACAATGTTATGTAAGTCTTTCACCTGAGAATCATATATTGGATGGGACATTCTGAGGTATCCAAATAACTGTGGCACCAGGAGAGCCCCTAACTGCTCTACTCCCCACAAGCAGGACCTCAGAATGCCATGGTTTGGGATGTCTAGTTGCAAAACAACCTTTTCAGCAATGATAACAATGATAAGGATTTAAAACCAGAACCTTACATCAGAAGATACTATGAGTTTATTAAAGCCCAGATAATAAAAATACTTTGCATTAAGCTAGTCCTTTTATAGTTTTAAAACACTTTAATATTTATGATTTCATATGCAATTGACAAGCAATTGACAGGAAACGTTAAACATTTTTTTTTTTTTAAAAGAAAAAGGATAACAATAGCTACATTTGTTGCGTCTAGTGCATACCCCCATTCTATGAGATGTGTACCATTCTCCTCATTTTACAGATATCAAAAAGACTCTGTGCCCAAGGCCACAAAGCTAGTAAATTCTGGAGCTGGACGTATACTTCCTTTAATTATTAAATAATGATTCTGACTTTTCCTATCAGAGGTAGCCCTGGCCAAGGGCAGTCTTCAATGAGAATACAAGTGAAACTATTGAGATTAGACAAAGTTCTGGAGATTTTACTCTTAAGTGAAATTCTTTGCTGAGGAATTCTTCACTCTACTGCCTTGCCTCCTCCCCACCTCATGTGGCTGCTGAACATATTTCCAAATAGCCTAAGCAGGGATCTCTGAATCCCTCCAAAGCCTCACAACAGAATTAATGTTTTTAAAATGATGGCCTATTCTTCTAAATGAGAAACTTTTGTGTGTTTGAGGCAGGCTGTCACAAATTCAGACACGCACTATAGCCCCTGATTATCTAAAAAGTCGACACTAATGCAATGTCTTCACTTTCTGCCTTTCTGGGCAGCCCAGGGAGCATTGCAAACTCAGCATTGCAGGGAGCATTGCAAATTCTCTCCGGAGAATATGTGAGGCACCAGTAACAGTGGTTTCTTCAAGGCCAGGAACTGGGAGGTGGGGAAACTGGTCTGGGAAGGAGATTCACTGTTCAACATACAATCTCTTGGTATTGTTTCAATGTTTTTGCCACAAGCATGTGCTACTGATTTTAAAATAATAATAATAATAAAAAAAGCCCATCAAGTTTAGTTCTTAGTTTGGGTTCAGATAAAGCACAAGTAGGTATCTTCAAGGTTTTCATTCTCACTTGTCTGAACCCTGAGCAGCTTGGAAGATTCAACCATTGACATTCAATTGACAAAAGCAGAAAAAGAATAGAAGTAACAACTTTGAACATCATTTTGTGTCAATTCACTTAAAGAGCTTTGCTGCACAGTCCCTAGAGCCCCCTGGGCTGTGAATGGCAAATTGGCTTTGACCCAGATCCTATCATAGCAAACAATCAACTAAGTCCAAAGGTGTACCAAATAGATGTTGATGCATTTTGCTCTACTCCGAACATAACGAGGCACTACAAGGAAACAAAATAGACAGTGATGGATTTTTTTTTTCTTAATGAGCTTTGGGATAATTATTATCATAAACTTGGTATCATGTTGGAACAGCAGATTAAGTAGATTCAATTTTTTGGAACAATTATAACAATCTCACTTGACTTTCATCAGATGAAAACTCAGACCTTAAAATATGTTCAGATCCTTTGGGAAAGGGCCCCATATCTGCAATTTTCTAAATATACAGACCTTTTGAGGAGTCCTTTTCATTGGTAATGGGAAATGTCATAAAATCTATGAGCTTTTTTCCACCTCCTTTGGTATTCACAGTCTTAATGTATCAAAACAAACTGTAATATACTAGCTCTTTCTGGTATTATGAAGTTGTGTTCCCATATGGAACATCATGACACCGTTCATTGATATCAAACACTGAAATGAATTAAAGTCTCCAAAATACTTTCCTTATTTATCCCACAGCCTCATATATGTAGGGAAAACCTGAACATTTTAATCTATGTCATGACACAAACTGGCTGCGTGATCTTGGGGCAGTCACTTAACCTTCTGTACTGGCTTTTTTATTTGAAGAATAAAGATAATAACGACTTCTTTATATATCTCACAGTGTTGGTGGGAATTTTCTGAAATCACATATATGTGAATACTTTGCAAAAATGAGGAGGAATAATCTCAAATTATCCTTAACACACTGCTGTGCATAACAACTGCTGTCCAACCAATACAGGCATATCTCCTTTTATTAAGCTTTGGTTTATTACACTTCACAGCTGGTACATTTTTTTTTTTTTACGAATGGAAGGTTTATAGCAACTCTGCATCAAGCAAGTCTGTCTGCACCATAGCCTATGGATGTCACAGCATCTGCTCATTTCATGTCTCTGCCACAATTCTCGCAATATTTCCAACATTTTAATTTTATTATTATTACATGTATTATGGTAATAAGTGATCTTTGCTATTACTATTATAATGGAGAGCCACAAACCATGCCCATATAAGATGGAATAACTTAATCAATACGTTATGTGTATTATTCTGACTGTTCACCAACTAGCCATTTCCCCATCTCTCTGTCTCCTCAGCCCTCCCTATTCCTTGAGACCAACAATATTAAAAGTAAGCCAATTAATAACCCTACAATGGTATCTAAGTACCGAAGTAAAAGGAAGAGACACATGTTTCTCACTTTACATCATAAGCTAGAAACGATTAAGCTTAGTGAGAAAGGCATGTTGGAAGCCAAGATAGGCTGAAAGGTGGGCCTCTGGCACCAGATAGCCAAGTTGGGAATGCAAAGGAAATTAAAAGTGCTACTCCAGTGAGCACACGAATGATAAGAAAGTGAAACAGCCTTATTGCTGATGTGGAGAAAGATTTAGAGGTCTGGATAGAAGATCAAACCAACCACAACATTTCCTTAAGCCAGAGCCTAATCCTGCACAAGGCCCTAATTTTTCAATTCCATGAAGGCTGAAAGAAGTGAGGGAGCTGCAGAAGAGAAGTTAAAGCTAGCAGAGGTTGGTTCAAGTTTAAGGGGAAACGCCATATGTATAACATAAAAGTGCAAAGTGAAGCAGCAAGTACTGATACAGAAGCTGCAGCAAGTTCTCCAGGAGATCTGGATAATCACTGATGATGGCTTCACTAAGCAACAGATTTTTAATGTAGATGAAATAGTCTTATATTGGAAGAAGATGCCATCTAGGACTTTTGTAGCTAGAGAGAAGCCAATGCCTTAGCTTCACAACTTCAAAGGACGTGCTGACTTTGTGTTGAAGCCAGTGCTCACTGACCATTCCAAAAAGCCTCAGGCCCTTAAAAGTTACCCTAAGTCAGGGTGCCTGGGTGGCTCAGTCAGTTAAGCATCCAACTTTGGCTCAGGTCATGATCTCACCATTCATCAATTCGAGCCCTGCATCAGGCTCTGTACTGATAGCTCAGAGCCTGCAGCCTGCTTCAGATTCTCTGTCTCCTTCTCTCTCCTTGCCCTACCCCCACTTGTGCTTTCTCTCTCTCTCAAAAATAAACATTAAAAATATACATTTTTTTAAAAAGTTACCCTAAATCTTCTCTGCCTGGGCTCTACAAATGGAACAAACCCTGGATGCCAGCATATCTGTTTGCAACATGGTTTACTGAATATTTTAAGCCCACTGTTGAGACTTACTGCTCAGAAAAAGAGATTCCTTTCAAAATATGACTGCTTATTGACAAAGTACCTGGTCATCCAAGAGCTCTGATGGAGATGTACAATGAGATTAACATTGTTTTAATGCCTGTTAACACAACATCTATTCTGCATCCCATGGGTCAAGGAGTAATTTTGACCTTCAAGTCTTGTTATTTAAGAAATATATTTCATAAGGTTACAGCTGCCATAGACAGTGATTTCTCTGATGGATCTAAGCAAAGTAAATTGAAAACCTTCTGTAAAAGATTCACCATTCTATATTTTATTTTTGTTTTAAGTAGGCTCCATGCCTAATGTGGGACTGGAAGTCACAACCCTAAGATCAAGAACCACATGCTCTCCTGACTGAGTCAGCCAGATGGGTGCCCCTAGGATTCACCATTCCAGATGCCACTATGAACATTCCTTTAATTTTTTTTAAATTTTATTTATTTATTTATTTACTTCTGAGAGAGAGAGAGAGAGAGAAAACAAGGGAGGGTCAGAGAGAGGGAATCACAGCCTGAGGGAAGCTCAGGCTCTAGGCTCTGAGCAAGCTATCAGCACAGAGTCTGATGCGGGACTTGACCCCAAGAACCGTGAGATCATGACCTGAGCTGAAGTTGGACACTTAACTGACTGAGCCACCCAGGTGCCCCATGAACATTCCTGATTCATGGGAAAAGTTGGAAATATTCATAAAGGAGTTGGAAGAAGTTGATTCCAATTGTCATGGATGACTTTGAGAGGTTCAAGATTTTAGCAGAAGAAGTAACTGCAGATGTGGTAGAAACAGCAAGAGAACCGAATGAAAAGTAGAGCCTGAAGAGATGATGAACTGCTGAAATCTTTTGCTAAAACGTTCATTGAGAGTTGCTTCTTATGCATGAGCAAAGAAATTTGTCTCTTGAGGTGGAATCTACTTTTGGTGTAGATGCTGTGGAGATTGTTGAAACGACAACGGAAGATTTAGAATATGACATAAACTTATTTGGTAAAGTGACAGGGTTTCATAGGACTGGCCCCAATTTTGAAAGAAGTTCTATAGCGGGTAAAATGCCGTCACACAGCATCACATGCTATAAGGGACTATTCATAAGAGGAAGAATCAATTGATGTGGCAAACTTCATTGTTGTCTTATTTTAAGAAATTGTCACAGCCACCCCCACCTTCAGCAACTGCCCCAATCATCAGTCAGCAGCCATGAACATCGAGGCGGGACCCTCCACCATCTCTAAAAGGTTTGGTCTGGAGCCTGAAATATGCCTGTATTCATTTAATCTGCTCTCCTCAGCAACACAGTGGCAAAGTTGCGGAATTCTGCCAGGGAGCGCCAATCACTGAGTAAAATGTAAATGGCGCCCTCTGCAGGTGCTTGGAATAGGAAATAGCAATTAATAGTAATTTGAGATTTGTTCTGAATTTGGAATGGAAAGCTGGAATTTCTTTGCTTTGCTTTGTTTGGGCTTTGAAAGCAGCAGACAAAGAGCATAATAGGAGAGGCTGAGTTGAGGAAGGCCGTTCATAACAAATCGATTTTTGTATCTTTTGAAAGTGCTATGGAAAATGGGCCTAGAAATGCTCCCTACCAGTGCTACTCAACATGTGGTCCAAAGGTCAGCAGTCAGCAGCATCAGCATCTCCTGGAAACTTGTCAGAAATGTATATTCAACCTACTGAATCAAAAGCTGTGGGGGCGCCCGCGTGGCTCAGTTGGTTAGGTGTCCAACTACTGATTTCAGTTCAGGTCATGATCTCACAGTTCATGAGTTTGAGACCTGCATCAGGCTCTGCGCTGACAATGTGGAGCCTGACTGGGATTCCCTCTCTCTCTCTCCCTGTCCCTCCCCTGCTCAAATTCTCTGTCTCTCTCTTTCTCTCAAAATAAGTAAACATTTTAAAAAACAACAAGTGTGGCAGAGGGACCCCAGTATCTCTGTTCTACTCTCCAGGGGACTCTTTGTGCCATACACTCCTGGTCGGGTTATCTCTTCCATAGTAACCAAAAAGCTGAATCCCAGCTACAGGGTGAAATGGACATCGCTCCACACATGGATTCCTCTGGGTAAATAAAAAATTCATCTGAACTCCAGAAAAGGTGTGTGTGTGTGTGTGTGTGTGTTGGGGGAGGGAAGGGGGTTTGTGGAAAAGGGCTGGTGGCAATGGAGATGGGCCCTGGGATGGATTTGCTCTATGCCCATCCCTCTCCATCCCTGCAGCTGCACTATTTCTTTTGTTTTCCCTGCCCCTGTTTGCTGGTTCCCCATCTTGGGGCAGTACAGTTTGCAGGGCAGTAAAGGGGACTTCTTGGGGATATGCCCATTTTTATTCTTCTGGAAAAGAAACTGGAATAATGTATTAGTTTTCAAAACTAGGAAACCCCAGTGCGCCTTTGAAGGGCAGACAAAAGCAATCATCCCTCCTGCTTACAACACAGCACTCCAAACCAGGTTTAATTACATGTTTTAGAAGGAAAGTGGAGCTGAATGAAAACCTAGTCATTAACAGGGAGAATGTGAAGGAACTCCACTGCAGAATGCCCCCAAAAACAAAGACCTGGGAAAGAAATCTGTCCTTGGAGTAAACCTTAATTTCCATGAAATTGGTCAATTTACACTACAGGACCATAACATATTTCTAACGCTGCTCTGATTGACAAACCCAGGTGAACAATTACTGGATCGTGCCCACCATTCTCTCCCCAAGGAGAATTCTAACAGGCATGGTCTCCTGAGCCCCTCCTGGAGGCCTGAAACTCATCTAGTCCAAGACTCATACATTTGCCCTTTATGTTAATCTCTGCTATTGGGAAGAATGATTCTTAGGCCTCAAAATGAACCTGGATTTTCTCAGTGCAATTTGCAGTTCTCCATATAATGCCATCTGCTCTTATAACATCTTCAGTTGTCAAATTTTTCTTCCTTTATTCTGGAGCTCAAATTAACAGACCCCGGCCATGACCTAGGAGGGCACATCTGGCTTTTTTAGAGAAGGTAAGCTGGTCTGTGCTCTATCTAATCATATATATATATATATATATATATATATATATATGTTCATCATATATGTTCATCATATATATATATATATGTTCAAGGCATATACCTATATAGAGCGCTCTAGAAACTTAGGGTCAGGAAATGTGTTCTGTGGACATTTTGAAAACTCACTGATTCAAACATATCACCAGTTCTTTTTTCTTTTTCCTTTCTTCTTTTATAAGTAGGCTTCATGCCCAGTGTGGAGCCCAATGTGGGGCTTGAACTCATGACCCTGAGATCAAGACCTGAGCTGAGAACAAGAGTCAGACGTTCAACCAACTGAGCCACCCAGCTGCCCCAAACATCATTTCTGAAGTTCGGTTTTTTTCTCTTGGTTGGTTTCAACGTTCAACAATTAAACAGATTCAAAAGTGCATTCATTTTCACTTCTGCATTTGTGGTCAGAGTAAAATAGTATCACTGAGCTATTTCCAGTTTGGGGGAGGGAGAGAACGGTTTGCACTACTACCATTCTTCTTCTTCTCATTGTTGTTAGGATAACCCTTGTGTTGCCCAGCACACTTCTAAAATAGTGCGTTCTCTCTCACTAAAAATTATGGCTGGAAGAAAGCAATCAAATCTGGAAGGCGATCACTTTTTAAAAATAAAAATTTAGTGAATGACATGACACCCAATCTACACTAAGTATAATTTAATGTATTTTAGTATTCATAACAAATATAAATTGCAGAAACACCTTCTCAAAATTACCATCATGAGTTAAATTATCATTGTGTTTTGGATACAGGGAGGCACCAATTAACAGAGTTCTGGAAACAGAACATCAGACTCTCTCCCTCTCTCTCTCTCTCTCTCTTTCATACTGGTGCTGTGTGGACTTCCAGGAGCCAGAGTACAGAGCTGCCAGCAGGAAATGGAGAGACCTGACACCAGGTAAATTATTCAAGGTATGCAGGTGACTAGCAGACTGCCAGACTCAAGCATGAGTTTCCCAGCTGAAAGCAACACTTTCATGAGATCTAATCTATGCTAACTCCGAAAACAATGGCATTATCTGTCTTTATTCCTCCCTCTGAAAAAACAGAAACAATAAGTGACTTTACTTTAAAATCACACTTGTTAGTGCAGCACAGCAATCCCAGATTGCATCAGGAGAGGTGTCAAAGACCGCCCCCCCAACCCCACTGCCCCTACTCCATGACCACACAAAAGGGTCCCATCTGCCTTTGCTCCAGCGGCACCTTGTTTGCCACAGATTAGATCAGGTCCCACAAAAACGGCAGGCACGTAGCCCAGCCCTTACCCTGGAACATCTGGACACAAGTGTTTTACCTCATTTCCATCATTACTTCACCCCCACTAAAAGTTTGAGATGCAGTTTAAAGGGTTTCCACTTGTAGGTGGCTTATTAGTTTTAATTGATTAAAAGAATTACACAGAGGGCCCTTTGTTTCAGAACAGCTTGAGGCAAGAGAGGAAAGACTCATTTTCCCAAATAGGCAGATCTGGTCCCCAGGCCTAAGAGTCACAGCCACATATGTGGTCATGCCCACACTGAACGATTTTTCCTGTTGGACTTCACATGCCCTACTCGTGTCACAGGTCAGCTCCTCCCCGGCGGCCAGGCCGGTGGTGACCCGTTTACCTTATGCCCCTGGCATTCTCCCTGGTGGCCAGCCTGGCCTCACACAGCTGCATCTCCAGCTGCCAACAGTTTTATGCTTTTGTGGCTGCCAAGATGCCTGTCCACAGCTGTGACCAATCATTCATTCAGCAAAACGTGCTGAACCATCACTCTGTGCTAGGCAGGGGCCCGGATGCTCCTGGGGTCACCAATCACCTTTGGGTATGAAATGCCTTCTTAACTACTCTCCCCACCCTGTGGGCTGTGGGATTAGAGAGAATTAGGTTGTAACCTGGGCTCCATCATTCACAAGCTGTTCAATCACGATGAGTTTCTCTCCTCCTTGAGCCTCAGTTCCTCTGCATGTAAAGAAGGTAATGTAAATGTGACACAAGTTAAAATGACGTCATATATAAATGATTCAGGAACGTAGCATTTAAGCCAGGGTTTCACAGCTGCGGCACTACTGACATTTTGAAAGGGTAACTCTTTGTCGTGGGGGCTTTCTTGTTCATTGTAAGGGATTGAGCAGTATCCCCAACTTGTACCCACTAGATGCCAGGAGCACCCCAGTTGTGACCACCAAAAACATGTTTGCAGACATTGCCAAATGACCTCTGGCAGACAAAAATTCTCCTGGTTGAGAGAATTATTTGAAAACTAAATAATAATATCCGCTATTACTACCATCAGTGGGGAAACCACATACTTCAAGCATGCCAATGAAAATGCAAATTCTACTTCAGATGAGAAAAGCAGGTGGGATTCAGAAAGATTAAAGAACTGAACCTTACCCTTACAATGATCCGTTCAGAGATGTGGGCAGACAACAGATAGAACTGATCTTGGTTAGCGGCATACAGTCCAACCACCAACATGAAGTATCTAAGTCAAAAACAGCAGATCAATGCCAACGCATAAGGAAACAGACATAATTTGTGCAATCAAATGCCATACAACAGTTCATCAACAGTGAATTTACCTAGGTAGGTTTGCGTATTTAAAGATTTTCTACTCTGCTGTCAGCTGCCCCTCCTGTGAGATGGAATAGCAGTGGATTCACTCAGGATTGTTCTGGGTCCACCCTTTCCCAGTCTGAGGTATGTGTGAGCTGTTCTGCAAGCCCCACAGCACAGCACTGCTCACAAACAAATGCATAACAGGCACCACCTTAGAGGTCCCTTTGCTGAGAGCTACCCCCGCTACCTACCCTGTCACAGCAGGGCTTGCTCAACCACACGGGGCCCTTCCCCCTCATCTGTTCTAGGCCATGTGCACTGTAGACCTTCATGCCGTGACTTAGTCAAACACCTGGACCCTGTGCTCCAGTTGCTCCCAATGCGGTTTTCATCAATGTTATTTCAAAAGCTTCTTCATGTGTAACACTGATGAGGCATTTTTAATATCGGATCATTTTTTTTTGAAAGTCAAAATAAAACTATCCCTATAAGAGGAGCTTTTGCTTTAAGAACCACATGAAAAAACCTTGCCAACTTCCTCTGCAACACCTCCCTAGAAAGTAAGAGTTCTCCCCTATTTCTAAAATAACACAGTAATAGTAATAAGTGTTATTTTCGTTATAATTATTAACCATTATCTGAGTCTTCAAAATGTGTCATACACTGAGCTAAGCAGGTGATCTATAGTATATCATTTAGAACCCCAAAACAACCCTGTTGGCATAGGATATGAACATTGTCCCCATTTTAGAGAATGGGAAAATGAGTCTCAGAGGGTTAAATTGCATGCTCAAGGTCATCCGGCTAGTAAATGGCAGTATCAAATTTCAAACTCAGTTTTTTTCTAACTCCAAAGCATATGTTCTAAAACCAATGATCCCAAACTTGAATATGCATCAAAGTCAACTGGAGAATTTATTAAAATACAAATTATTGGTCCCCACTCCAGAGCTTTTGATTCTGTAGATCTTCAGTGAGGCCTGAGAGACTGGACACTTCTAACAAGCGTCTTGGCAACACAGTCTCTGCTCACCCGGGGCCGCACTATGAGAACCATAGGTGTAAATCATCACTGCAAGTTCCTTTTGTTTTTTAATCAAAAAGAAGCTAGAGCAGAACTCCAGGACTCGGGGCTTTACACTAGTGACCACCACACAGGCTTGAGCAGAGCAGTTGGTCCTCAACCCCTAGACGGCAGTGAGGCATAAACATGTGGTCACTCTAGAGAATCATGGAGGGCATGAAGGCAAACAGATCTGGGGTTGGACAGGAAAGAAGGCACTGTGGGAGATGAGCATGGATAAGGAAAGACACCTAAGGGTAAGGGAGATGTGTTAATAAACAGGAAGAGTCAAGAAGGGGGAAGTGGCCAAAGGCAGCCTGGTGTGACCAGGAAGATCAGAGAGGCCTCTGGAGAGCACTAGCCAGTCCGATCAAGTAGCCGGCCACCGTGGGGCATACACAGGGATGCCTGTACCTCTGGTCAGGATTTGGTTTTCCCTTCTTCCTCATATTATTTGCTGTAGTTTCACTGAAGTGTAACCGGCCCAGTGTGATTTTGGTGACCTGGTCAGCCAGCAGGTCAATTCTAAAACAAACAACAGAAATACCAAGAGACTGTAAGAGAATGTAGACTCCTTGGTCATATCTAACTCATTCTGAGAGTCTCAAGTATGTCAGTCACTGGTTTTTAATAAACTCCCCCCAACATGGTCTGGAATGGCTGCCAGGGAATAATTCTTGAAAAGTAAGATATGCTCATTCAGCAGAAGCTCCAGCCTGGAGTTTCTGACTCATAAGGGCAGTATGCTCCCTGTACCACATATGGGTTCTTTTAACTCCACAATGGGGAGAAAAGACATTTCATGTGTGCCTCTGCCACTGTTGCTAGAGCTGCCTCCTGATGAGCAATTTCTCGAGGTTTCTCACGAACTCCTTTGTATCCCCTTCACATATTTCCCCCTCCTGCCCTGGCCCCTAAGGAAGACCACACCCAGACTGCCTGGGCGGGAGAGGGAGAACCAGATACACCAGACAACTTTACTGCTGTGTTTGTACACATGGCTCCCACGTGAGGGTCAGGCCAGGTTCCTGCCTCCTCTCTCCAGGCAGCAGGACCATTTTCTTTCCACCCTGAAGGGGAGTGCCTCAGGGGCAGAACACTGAGATGTGTCAACTACCTCCCAGACAAATAATTGAAAAGCAAATCACACTCCAAGTCATTCCACAGGACGAAGGCTCACCTTGGACTGCCATGTTGCTTGGGATAATCCCAGGGCTGTGTGCTTTCCATTTTGGAACTCATTAGGCAATCTATCAACATAGCTTTAGGGGCGCCTGGGTGGCTCAGTCGGTTAAGCGACTGACTTCAGCTCAGGTCATGATCTCACAGCTTGTGAGTTCGAGCCCGACGCGACTGACTTCAGCTCAGGTCATGATCTCACAGCTTGTGAGTTCGAGCCCTGTGTCAGGCTCTGTCGCTAACAGCTCAGAACCTGGAACCTGCTTCAGATTCTGTGTCTCCCTCTCTCTCTGCCCCTTACCTGCTCATGTTCTGTCTCTCCGTGCCTCAAAAATAAATAAAACATTTTTAAAAAATTTTAAAAACAGCTTTAAAAAATTAGAAAAAATGAATTGTAAGCATAGCATAACTTAAAAGAAAGATCTAATCATAATCTGTGTCAAGGAACCCAGGTAGTTAGCAAGGGTGTCAGTAATAAAGGGTGATAAAAATAATGACTTAAAAATGGAGCTTTTTACAAGAGTTTGTTTGAAATTATTTCAATGCGTTTTACCTATTTATTTTTGTTGATAAGCATGTACTCATAATATTAACATCTTATTACCAATGCAGTTTCTGCAATGGGATTCATTTTAATTCTTTATTACTTTTTTTATTCACATAGAGTTGATATATAATGTTACATTTGTTTCAGGTGTACAACATAGCAATTGGACATCTCTATACTTAGGCTCTGCTCACCGCATCTGTAGCTACTACACAACACTATCACAATAACACTGACTGTATTCTCCATGCTGTGCCTTTCATCCCCGGGACTTCCTCATTCTATAACTAGAAGCCTGTATCTCCTACATCCCTTCACCCAATCGCCCATAACCCAAGCCCTCCCCTCTGGCAACCATCAGTTTATTCTCTGTATTTATAGGTATGTTTCTGCTTTCTGTTTGTTTGTTTGTTCATTTATTTTGTTCTTTAGATTCCACATGTAAGTGAAATCATATGGTCAGTGGGATTCAGTTTTAATAAACAAAATATATTGGGCAATAGGTCTTTTTCCCCATAGCATTAACAAAGGAATTCAGAAAAGAAATTCTTACTTAACAGGATTGAAAATCTTTTTGCTTCTATCTGCTTGGGATTGTTCGATAGCAATTATTTGATTGGTGGCTTCTACCTGTTTGGAATAAGAAAAAGTAAATCAGTTACTGAACACATAAATTTATTAATAAAAATGTTCATTAGTAAAGAACATTCAAGTACTTTAAAAGTTTTCCAAGGTATCATGATACGGACTGGGTAGGAGGAACAAGTCACTGAAAAGACATATAAGGCAATGGCCCCAACCTTAAGCAGTATGCTACTGGTGAGAAACAAACATCTGTAAAACTAAACAATGAAAACACAAGACAACAGAAAACTTCAAGTGAACGGTGATTATAGTGTGAGCTAGTAGGTGGTTAAAACATCAGGAGTAAAACACATCAGCAAGGCAGCTCAAAGGATACAAGCTTTCATTCATTCATTTATCCATTCATTCCATAGATACGTGCATTCATTCATTCATTTATTCATTCATGTCAGAGCACCTGCTATGTACCAGGCATTACTCGAGACATTGGATATGAGCAGTGGAAAAATTAACAGAAATCCCAGCCCTTGAAGAGCTTACATTCCAATAAGAAGAAATACTAATAAACAATAAAAAGAAATAAAATACAGAGAATGGCATTTTTTTCAGTACTTGGTACAAAACTCTTCTTGCTCTTAATGAATAGTGGGAAGGGTGTAGTGAGACCTGCCTTGTCATATAGGGCTTGTGGGTATTAGCATAATAACAATTTTTCTGAAAAGCAACTGGGCAATCTACATCAAGAGTTTTAAGAATGTTCGTGCCTTTGATGTATAAATTCTTCTGGAATGTATCCTCATGCAAAGACAGGTATATGTGGATGTTTACTGAGGTTTGACTAACAATAAAAAATTGAAAATAAGCAAAACTTATAATAATGCAGGAATATGATACATTTATACAATAAAAACTATCATCTTTGGGGGCGCCTGGGTGGCTTAGTCGGTTAAGCGTCCGACTTTCACTTAGGTCATGATCTCACGGTTCGTGGGTTCGAGCCCCACATCGGGCTCTGTGCTGACTGCCAGCTCAGAGCCTGGAGCCTGTTTCAGTCTGTGACTCCCTCTTTCTCTGACCCTCCCCTGCTCATGCTGTCTCCCCCTTCTCTCTCTCTCTCCTAGAAATAAATAAAACATTTTTAAAAAATTTAAAAAAAAACTATCATCTTTGTAAACAATATCTTATAGAGTCTATAATAATATCACATTACTTTCATAATGTACTACTAACAATATGAGATTAATTCTAAAAACTTTTCATTAGAAACAGAGAGAGCCAGTGGGAGGGGCAGAGGGGGAGAGAGAGAATCTTAAGCAGGCTCTCTGCCCAGTAAGAAGCCTGACATCGGGCTCAATCCCGAGACTTTGGGATCATGACCTGAACCGAAATAGTCAGACACTCAAATGACTGAGCCACCCAGGCACCCTGAGATTAATTTTAATAACAGAAAAAATTAGACTACAAAATGGTGGGTCCCAAATATGAATGAATTTTCTCTTTCTTTGTAGTTTTCTATTGCATCTCAAAATTTTCATAATGGATTCATATTACTTACATAATCAGAAAAATATGTTCTGTTGCTTTTTGTCATTTGTATTTACCTTTGGTTTGGTTTAAGAACTCAGTTTGGAGCAAGAGCAGCTGATGTGTCCAGCAGTCAAGTCCCATTTTGGGAGACTCAGTGTCTAAGCTCAGGTTAATAATCAGAACAAAATACACAGATAATGGATGCTCCTCCCGCTGAGAAGCTGGATCTGAGCTATTAAGTTAATAAAGACTTGTTGACCACTCAAGAATGATCCTACCTGCATTCTAAACTCAACTCTCTTATTCTCTTATCTTGGATGAACTGTGTAACTTTATTGTGACTCAGTCTCCCCTCTGTTAAACTGGAAAAAAGGGTACATTGACTAAATTAATGGTTCCTTGGCTTTTTCAAGTCAGAGACCTATTTGGAAATTTGGTGTAAACTTTGAATCTGATGCATTTGAAAATGTACCAGTGTCAAAAAGAATAAAATAATTACATTTAGTAAAAAAAAAAAAAAAGTGCAAGATTTATATACTGAAAACGATCGAAATGGAGTTTGAAGTGATGTTCTCCCAGTTTCTGAGACAGTTTCAGACTTCAGAAATTAGCAGCTTCCGCTTCCTATGTCTTGGAACATTTATTCTTAGAACCCATCTACCATGCTGTGAGGCAGCACAACCTATCCCACAGAGAGGTCCATGTGAAGAAGAGCCAAGGCCTCCCAGCCACAGTCTCATTTGAGCTCCTGGCCAATGGCCAGCCCAAACTTGACAGACATATAAGTGAGCCATCTTGGATACTGATTCCAGGCCCAGCTGAGGACATGAACAGACACGAACTGTCAGAGCCAACCCCTAACCAACCTGCACATCTGTGACCCAAACAGATGACTGTTAATATTTTTGGTGGCTAAGTTTAAGGAATAGTTGTTGTTATGCAGCAACAGATAACTGGAACACTTAATTAAATTAGCTTAATTAAACTGAGTTAAATAAACAACTTACCTTTACCCCAAAAGCTTTCAAGTAAAACATTTCTATTGGCTTTAGGCCCATTTGGGTTTTGACAAATTTTGGACTTCCCCAAACTTGGATATAGATGGTTATCTGAAAATGGTTTTTCTTTTGGCAAACAAAAGCTTCATCTGCTGGTGAAAAATTAAATCCTTTGTCTGTGACAACTCGATAGCCTATATTGGGTCTATGGAAAGAATTGAGAAACCAATTTAACAAACATTCTCCACACATTTTCTTTCATTAATAATATTAATTGTATAAACATTTCAAGAAAATATATTGTGGAAAGTGATTGTTGCTATATTGAATCAATTTGGTGAATTTTTGCTGAGCATTTGAAAATGCTATTTCAAAACACAGATGGCTTTCTCACAGCATTTTGTTTTCTCACAAGGAAGAAGCACAATTCTTGCCAAATGGAAGCATTGTTGCCTTGGCCTGCCTTTTCCCTTTGTGCTTTCCAGAATTCTAATTTGACTCCACCACTCAATAGAAAGACATAGTCCAGACGTTGAGAAATCACCACATCGGTCAGGCTTATGAAATATCTGGGATAAAATTCATCTTTTTTCATCCCTAAAAAAAAGGCTTTAGATGTCATCAGCAATACCACACTCAAATAGTCCCTTAGATGAGTGAATCCCTTGGATTCAGCCTATTCGTGGTCATAAAAAAAAGGCAGACTGGTCAGAATTACTAGGAATAGCTTTAAACCAAATTAACCAGAGCCAGTCAGAAAACTGACTGAAAACCTGTTTTTACCAGAGTTCGGTCATTTCCTTCTTAGCCTCCTGATCTGGTAACAGCACTGAAAATCTACGATGCTGGTTACTTCTGCTGGGAACAGAAGTGACAGGGTGGCTAATCAGACTCCTGTGTTATTTGTCCTATCAAATTCTTTTCAATAGCAATGCTATGTGTATGACATGTTTAATGAAATACTTTGCAGTGTTAAGAAAAAGAAAACATCCTAAATGAGTAGAGAAGAGAATACAAAAGGTGAAAACTTTTTGGTGCATTTTCCGCATCCATGTTGTACAAATGGAACAGATTTCTGATCCATCAAGATTCCCAAATGTGGGGTTTTCCTCAGGAAAGAAGCTCCTTCCCAGGACCACAGGCAGAGGAGGGCAAGACTTACTGCTCTGTGGGCTCTCTGCTGCTCTGTATGTGGGTTTCTTCCTGGGATCTCAGTTTGGATGGCTGCCAGTATAATGAACATTGAGTTTCTAAATTTTGCTTTAACTCCAGAGACAGAAAATATGAATGAGTCTCTTGGGAAAAGAGTGTTCATGTTCTTTGCAAGGTAAGCGCCTTCCCAATGGATCGAGTCACTGGGCCATTGATTACCTCCAAGTAGCTGATCTGTCAAAGACTCCACAATCCTAGTGGCTGCCAGCAGCAAATTCAGGAACAGTCATTGAATGAAGGATTTGATAAAGGCCACACATCTTATGTCATCTGGGAACTTCATATTGACTCAGGTTTCTAGAACTAATCTTCTAACTTGCTCATCTAAAGGCTAGATGAATTGAATTATATAGATTTTACTGCCGAGAGTAATAAGAACTGTCTTGGTTGAGAAAAAAGGAAATATCATTTTGTGATCTTCCATGTTTCACTATCAAAAACTCCAAAGAAGGTAAGGTTTATAGCTCAGATATGAGCATTAGCCTGAAATTTAAAAATAGCTAGAAGGAGAAGCTGAATCAACCAACAACTATACCGTTGAAGATTATTATGAATCGTAAACATTGATCTCTGGTTATAGAAATTTATTTACCTAAAAATGGTTATTCTGATTTTGATATCAAAAGATATACATATAGTCAACTAAACTGGCTTTTTTTTTTTAAATTTTTTTTTAATGTTTTATTTATTTCTAAGAGAGAGAGACAGCGTGAGCAGGGGAGGGTCAGAAAGAGAGGGAGTCACAGACTGAAACAGGCTCCAGGCTCTGAGCTGGCAGTCAGCACAGAGCCTGACGCGGGGCTCGAACCCACGAACCGCGAGATCATGACCTAAGCGAAAGTCGGACGCTTAACCGACTAAGCCACCCAGGCGCCCCTATACTGGCTTTTTAAACAAGCTCTGTTGACACAAGTTTTACATATCACTCCGAAAAAAAGCTTTTGATACATTTTCAATCCCGTAACTTCATTGCTTCTAGGTAAATTTAAGGAAACAATATTTTTGTATCAAATTAAACATAATAATCTGAGACAAGTGATTTTCTATCTCAACGATATGAGTAGTGAAAGTAAGATGACCTGAATTCTAATGTAGATTACTATTGTTCTTTTTGGGGCGCCTGGGTGGCTCAGTCAGTTAAGCAACTGACTCCGGCTCAGGTCACAATCTCACGGTTCATGGGTTCAAGCCCCACGTCGGGCTCTGTGCTCTCAGCTAGCTCAGAGCCCGGAGCTTGCTTCGGATTCTGTCTCCCTCTCTCTCTGACCCTCCCCTGCTCATGCTGTCTCTCTTTCTCTCTCTCTCTCAGAAATAAATAAAACATTAAAAAAATTTAATATTGTTCTATTCATTCACTTAAGAAAAATGAATTATATCTAAGCATTCAAAATAAATCTGCCTCTATACCTTTGAGCTGATATCATCCAGGTTCTCCTTTTTTTCCAGATCAGTGGAGCTTAGATTGGCTGTTCAGATAAACTTTAAAAAAAAATCTACTCAAATGAGAAGAAAGGCAAACTACCTCAAGAACTTGATCAACAGTTTCATACCTTGGTATTCATATTTAGGAGAGTGTACGAAATACTCCCCAATATATAACTAAATGAAGATTAAGACTCAAAACCAAGACCTATGGACCCTTCATTTTTTTTTCTAATTGCACACAGTGGCAAAGACAAAAGTTGTGACAGTTCAATGATGCAATTAGCAATTTGCTTCTTTCTGCCTCCCATTCAATAGACCAACTCCCAAAGTTTGTTTCAGTCCTTAGAATTTGTTTGAAGGAAAAGATTTCCCCCTTCTAGTTCATCCAACATGGAAGTCCTAGTGATAAGTTTTGCTCTTAAAGAGGCTATATTTGAATTTGGAAAATACCATGAAAGCCCTCAAGTTTGTAAATCAACATTTCTTATTTTGTATTTATTTATTACTTGAAAATCCTATTCCTTAACAATTAACATTGTTTTAGATTTTTTAAGAAGGCATTTATAATCTTAAAAATTCTAGAAGAATAAAGAGAAGGCTCTGACGACATTTAAGAGCAATAATATGTAAGTCCACATTTACTTCTTGAAACTATAATCTCACAAGATTAGGATGAAAGTTTTTCCAGTTTAAAGATATTTTCTATGTTTTCATTTCAGTCTCCTAATACAAAGCCACCACCAACGGTGACTGCTGCCATATATGTTGACAATGAACTTGACAATACTGATTCACAACATAAATATTGGGGAAGTGGTATTGTCACTAGCTAGCATTTAATGTGGCCCCCTAAAACAGTATTTTATGGAATTTTAAATTCAGTCCAGGATCAAATGTTACTGATTTGGGAAATCTCCATTTTCCAGCATTTAGGTGAACTGGGTATTGATTTCAGAAAGATTCTCTCCCTCCATCGTTTAGTGGGCAAATTATAATGCGTTAGAATGATACGACTGGACTCCTAAAGGTCAGAAATCCACGTCTCAACTATTCATTAGTTGGAATGCGAAACATAAGGAATAAAACACACTTTCTCATTGACCCATCCTATTCAAGCAGGAATGGCATCAAAGCCCAAATACTTTGATTTAGTCCTGAAGATTAGCACTGCCTTCCTTCCCTCACTCTCCACCAGGGGTTCCTGAGCCACTTACAGGTTTTCATAATGACCATTTAACAAACTGTGCCAAGGAACACTTTGGTATGGCTGCCACTTCAGAGTAGGAGAACACTGGTCCACAGGCATCATGTTCTGTCCCTCACTGTCGTAGTCTTGCACTTCACTGCTGTGACTCCTATTTGTCACTGCAAAGAAATCCACATGTTAGATCTTTCCTCCAAAGATGTTTTTCCTAGACTCACAGACAGCTGCATGGAGCCAATGAACTGGCCATATATGAGGTAGAGTGACCACATGGGAAGTAACAAGCGTTGGGAAGTAAGAGACATGTGGCTAGCCTTGTTTCCTCATCTGCAAAAAGACCAACTTGGAGTCAGTGATCTCTAAGATGAAATGGTACTTGTTGGAAATTTTGCCCTTAGTATCTATCTATCTGTCCCTCTTCCTGCCTAGCATCTCCCCATTTCCAGTCAATGCGGTTCCAGGGAAGCCTACTCTCAGCCAGAGGAGGGTATGGGGACCCAGACAGGATCACTTAAAGCACAACATTCACTACCTACATCAATAATTGCATCAGGCAGATTTATGGCCCAATCCAACCCAAGCAGAATGCATCTCTGCACTTCAGGGGACAGGGGTTCAAAGATGGTGACTCTTTTCCATGAGCTTTAAACCTGTGAGATACATCCCCAAGAGCTGTTGGCACCATTTGGTGAATGTGCAAGAATGAAGCCCGCACAGCAGAACGCAGAGTTGAGAATGAAGGGCACTCAGTGTTGATGGCGTGATTTGAGTTCTGGGATCCAATTCTAAACTCTTGGGTTACAGGAGCCAATAAATCCTCCAGTTTTGTTTTTTGGTTTGTTTATTCCTTAAGGCAGTTTGAGGTGTGGGGGTTTTGTCCTTTGTTTCCGTGTTTTTGTTAATCGCAACGAATACATTCTACTCTGTTACAAGTCCCTTGTGGCACTAGGGAACACTAGAGAAGTTTCTGAACTTAGATGAGCTATTTATTCACTTAGTGTCTTACTTCCCTCAACTGCACAATAGAAATGAAAACAGATGTCTTGCCGATCTTGCAATGTTACACGAGTGGAGAGAATATCCTAATACAAGTGAAAGCCAAGATAAAGTAACAAAATATCGTAAGTAGTATTGACTATAGGAAATTGCTACTTTTGTATGTTAAAATAACAGCAATTTCACACGCCCAAGCTACTATTTTTGCATAATCCCTGCAAATTGTCTGTCTTCATTTGAGTATGCCTCCAAACCACATGATTCAGCCTTAGATCATTTTTATGTAAATTCTATTGGTAGGTTTTCTGTTTTTCTTTTAACTCCCCTCCTATCACTCATGCCTGACATCAGGAGTTTAAGGGAAATAGTGGGTGTTCATTAGATCAGGTGCAGGCTGTAAGCAACAACACAGAAACACAACAGCCACTCCTGTGGAGCGTGCACTTAGCCCACAGCTTAGAAAATGCACAGTTTTCTTTCACCTAACTTCCTTTCTTTATACTTCCACTGTGGACTTCCTCACACGAATAAATAACAGAGCTGCTTCAGGTTGTCTTTGATCTCAAATGTCACAAAAAACGTGTTTTTCTTGGGGGGGGGGGTCCCTATTAACACGCCACCGAAGCAAAACATTTTTTTTTCCCCAGTTTTTGTGAGCAACCATTTTGAAAAGATTTCTCAGAATCACGAAAAACTTTTTCCCGGCTAAGAATACAGGGGGTCAGCAATGCAAGGACCTCCTCGTGCCATCACTCCTCCACAAGTTACCAGACCTAAAAACTGTTTAAAACAAACGAACTAACAAAACCCTTCCACGGTCCTCCTGCTTATACCAAATTCAGAGAAAGGGAAAGACTAGTTCCTCCATCTTTCCTTCCTCTCTCCTACAGGGGAGAGAGGGTAAAGGAAGTTCAGGAGCTTGGAGTTAGGAATCAGATGAGCCTGGGCTTGAGTCACAACTCTACACTTCATTGCTGTACAATCTAGGAAAATGGGTTCGTCTGTCTGAGCTTCAGTCTCTTCATCTACAAAATGGGACTAACAGTATGAAACCTCCCAGGGTTGCTGACGGGAGTCAATGAGTCATGACTGTAAGGGCCAAGCACAGGGCCTGTCACTAGCAAGGATTTAGACTATGGTGCTTGCAGTTAATACCAGTGGCACTGGCATCATCACATGCACTTGTTTCAGTTCAGATGACTCGGTTATTCCCAGGAAGCCTTGGAGAATATTTCCGTGCTTGGCCTCCATGGTCATTCTACCCGACGTGAAATAACTAACGCTGAGTGCCTGAGTGAACATCAGCTAACGTGGGCCCTTTGCCACTCAAGCCCGGTGGTCAGGTCAAGGATAACAGCAGTTCCTGCCTTTTCCCATTGTAGCAACGAAACTAAGGGGCAGCCACTGTAAGCCCCAACACAGCCTTGGCTTCCCTGGGAGCTGGCCATCCGCTGGTGACACCCAGGGACTCCAGGCCCACACTGAAATGCCGGGCACAATGTGAGCCCAATACTGGGACCTATTATTATTCACACCAATACTAATGTCTACTCATCCTGTGTCCTGTCTGTATCAAGACACATGACAATTTCTCATCCACTCTTCAAAGTAAGTATGTCTCTTCTTCAATAAGCTTTCTTTAAGTATAAAACACATAAAAAACACACAGACCATTGGTACACAATTTGATACTTTCTATAAAATGAATTATACTGGGTAACTATCACTAGGCCCAGAAATAGGACATGTCCAGGACTCTAGAGGACACCCTCATACCCTCTTCCAGTTACTGCTTTCTCCTACCCAAGATAAATCACTGGTCTGATGTCTAATACCACAGAGGAGTTCATCGAAATGGAATAATATGATACGTACTCCTATGTGTTGGCTTCTTTGACCCAATATTATGTTTATGAGATTCATTCATAAACGTATTGTTGCAATGGTAGGCGTTTGCTCATTCCCATTACTGTAGAGTACTCCATTATATGAATATGCCACAATTTATCCTGCCTTTGACCGCCATTTGGGTTATTTTCAGTTTGTGGTTATTATAAGTAATGCTGCTGTGGATATTTTTTGTGAATGTCTTTTCGTGGGCATATGTATACATTCCTGTCAGACGTAGTCCTGGCAATGCAATTACTGGGTCACCGGATATGCTTCCATAGATGCAGCCAAACTGAAGTAAGGATTCCTAATCTCACTTAACAAATGTGAAAACTTGGGTTCAAAGACCTGAAAGAACTTGCCCACAGCTGTTAGACGGGATTCAAACCACCCTCTTCCTTTCATGCTACACTGAGGATTTCTTGAGAAGATGTAGCAGAAGAGAAACAGAAGTGTGAAGGCAGCAAACTGCCCAAGTTCCGACCTTTTGGAAAACACTCATAGTTTGCATTTTAGTGTCTTTCAGACTATTCTCTGATACAGTACTTCAAAAAAATCTTAGAAATGGGTGAAGTAGAAATTATGATTCTCATTTGGCAATCAAGAAAAGTCCGGCTCAGAGAGTCCCTAGTTGCTGAGGAAACGAGACAGATACTTTTTCTGACTCTACAGTGTGAATTCAGCCAGTACACCTCTCACTGGGAGCCAAAGGCCACAACTCTGGGGCTTAAAAACCCTTTTGTATTTGAGATTTAAGCTACACGAGTCCGTGAACTCTCTTATATTCAGGGTTCAGACCAGATGGAAGCAGGGACCCTCTGAGATGTTTGGGATCTAGGCCACATGAGGCTGGAACCAGCTAGCAAGGGCTTCCCCACCAGCTGCTTTCTCTCAAACCAAGATTCTACCTCGGCCCACAGCAAACCAGTGAGTCTACATTGTGAGCCCTATAAATGGGGATCTTGGAACCGTTGGGCAAAATGAACTGCTTGGGAGAAGATCACCGGAAAAGTCTTACTGACTGATTTAGAACATCTCTTCCTATCAAATTTCCTGCCTTCTAAGACTAGCAGAAGCTCGTCCTTCCTCTGCCTATGTACCACTTCTCCAGGACCTTTGTAAAACCCTTGGCCTCTGCCACATCAAGTATGAGCTCTCAACTGGAACACTTCTGCTAAAAATACAAACTGTAAGGAAAACATGGCATTTGGATTTTTGCCTTTTTTTTTTTTCCCCAGCCCTGGGCACCTGTTCATTTACATTCTGGACCAGTTGTCTGGGGCTGATTATCTTTAGTCAGCTTTTCAGTGACCTTTGTTGAAAAAGGACATAAACAAGAGATTCAAGATTTCCTATCTGTTGAGACACTTCAGTTACTCTTCTATGATTTTCTCTGGAGATGGTGAAAAATCAATGGGCTCTCCAGAGACAGGCAGCAGAAAATCATCACAGGACAGGGCTTAACTCTGAAATGGCCACGATGATTTGCGCAGCAATCTGGTTTCATGAGGAACTGCTCGGGAGGTTTGGGTGGCCTGCCCAGTCCTCTCGGTGAGCTGGTGCATCTGTGGAAGTGAACAGATGGTCCCCTTGTCTGGCTAGGAATTTACTCAGCCTTTTATGTTTGAGAATCACAAAGAAGCTGTAGGCTAGATGCAAGGACTCTTGAAGAAATCAGAGGAAGCTCTGCACAGAAAGGTGGATGGGGAGCTCTGTATCATCCAAAAAGGAGACTTTCATTCGCATGTTGTGTCTCAAGGGTTGAATAAGAAAAACCAAGCAACTGCTGGCTGGAGTGGATCCATGAGGAAGAAAAGGCAGTGAGAGGTTTGGTTCATGCAAGGGCCCAATGCCTGGCACAGTTCTGCCACAGCACACCCAGGGAATGGCCTCGTGTGACCTTGGCTGAAGGGACACCCCACCCCACCCCTCCGCCCATGCTGGAACTGAGGCCAGACATCTCTGAAAGCACCAGCAGGCTTCATGGGCACAGACAACCAGCACGTTTCATGTGGCTGTGAAAGACAAAGGCAGCAACTCAAGCAGGTGAGGAAGCCACCCACATCACTCTTCAGGGTGGTATAAACCTCTGGAAATTGGGGACAATAGTGTGAGGGAGAGCTCCAAGACAGAAATCTTGAACTTCCTGCCAAGCTTTTGCATGGGAAAAAAAAGAGACATACCCTGAATCTGAGGTTCTATTCACATTGCCCACATTGGATCATTTACAGTGGCTAATAGAATTGGCACGAGACGTCTTATTTTTACCTGACAAGTGCCATAGCATTTATTCTGAAAGTGCAAGGCTTCAGACTCAAAATCCCCAATTTGTTCATTACTTGAAAAGGTCTCTAAGCTTGAAACACAATGTGTCACACATTGAAGAAGCAAAAAAATAAGGTAGTCTCACCACTTGAGCATCATATGAGTCTGCTGAAAGACTTCTAAAATGATCTTACAAAATTTCAAAGATCTACTTGGGAGCCGCTAACCTGAAGCAAGCGCTAGGGGAGCTCAGCTCTCTACCTTTCTGCCCCACTGGAGAAATCTTCCCAAGTCTGCTTCTCAGAGTACCTTTTATGAGCAAGTAACACTGAGAGCCTGTTAGGACAGCAGAATCTCAGCCCCCACCTCAGGATGCTGAATCAGAACCTTGCCCCTAAAACTGAAAGGACCCCCATTTCATCTCCACCAAAGAGAGAGACAATAGCACCTCTTCCTAGGAGCACCTGCATGACCCCATTGAATACTGCCCGAAACCATCCATCAAAAGGAAAGAAATAAACTCCAAGAGCCTATCCTTGCCCTTCTATGAAAGAGAAAATCATTCTGTAGGACTAGTACAAGACTGGTCAAAATCCCTGACTTAATGGCGAAAGCAGTGATGGGCCCCGGGTTGGCTCACTTGGTCTGGAGTGGTGGGCCCACACTTGATGGTCCTCGGGGTTCTCCAGCGCCTGTGTGCACTTTCTCTTCTTGGTTGGTGGCAACGAGGTTCTAAAATCAAGAATCCAAAATGCAGGTTAGGAGTCTGTGCTCTCCATGTTACATTAAATCAGATCCAACTTCCCAGGTGTCTGCTCTCAGCCTTCATAAGACTAATTCCAGTTCGTTAAGATTCCTTGAGCCACACTGGTGTGCAATCCTAGGCTGTGCATGAGTGGACAGAGCAAGCTTCTCTTCCAGGAGCCCTGCTAGCCTGAAACTTAGTTTCCCAATATCCAATGGATTGGAGACTCGCCTACTTGAAAAATAAACTGTCAATATTTCCAAAGGCAGAGAAGATACTGAGACAGAGAAGATAGGAAGTTAAAATATAGTATATAAACGTATAAAATATAAGTATATAAAATGCATGTCCATTTTACACCTGACATTTTATTTCACCACAATTTTTGATGGTCTCTCCTCAATTTGTCATTCTTTAGATTCAGAAGAAAGAATAAAAGAGAAATGGAGAAGAAGGAAGAGAGGAAAATATAAAAAAGAATATTAGTTAATGTTTAATATTTTTCTGAGAACTCATTCACAAATTACTTGTATATTCTAGCAGAGGCTGCAAATGTAAACAGTGCTTTCTCCACCACTCAGAATGTCTCTCTATATTTCTGACATTTTAACTTTCCATTGAATGAGGGCTTTGGGTTTAGCGGGTTCTTAATTAAAAGATGGCCTAAAGCCAAGAGCACTAGGGCCTTGCCATGTCTGATATGTGACTCAACACCGCCATCTCCTGGACAGAGAACGCCACTGTTCATTCTTTACCGGCACTGCGAGGGGTGCTGGCTGCTCTGAGGTCTTTGATAACTAAATATCTTGCCCTTTACCCAGGGCTGTGGCACAGAGGCTGCTGCTGGTAAGGACGGCTTATCCCCAGATGGCAGGACACGCAATGGTCCGGGGAGGTCGTAAGATGACTGGTGCCTGGGTAGCAGTTGTGGAAGCCGCTGGGGATGTGGGCAGAGTCGCTCGTTTCATACGAGCTCGGCGCCAGCTGCGCAGGTAGCGTCGCAGGGCCAGCCTCAGAGTGGCGCAAAGTAGCTGAAGTCCTCCCGGCTGCAGGTCTCACCGCTGGGCAGCATGCACCTAGGGGAGCGCACAGGTGAGAGGGGCTCCCTTTCTGACCACCCAGAGCCCGAGAAGGGGGGGCGCTGCAAGGTGTGCGCCAGGCATTCGGAACTCACCTTGGATCTGTGGAGGAGAACAGGAGTCGGACGCAGAATAAGGTGGAGTATCTGGAAGCTGCCCTTGCCTGAGGATTAGAGACACACATTGCTTTTCCTTGTAACCTGTTCCATCATTACGCCCCTGCCACAAATGGGAGGCACCCCTGGGTACAACACACAGGCACCATGGGGGCTAAAGCCCACCAGACTATGCCTAGGGTCGTGTGTTAAGTAAATGGACTTTGAGTCACACAGACCTGGGTTTGGGTCCCAGCTCTTCCAGTCCCTAGCTGTGTGTTCATGAACAAGACCTCGGTCTCTCTAGGCCTCCGTTTCCTCACCTACCGTGTGGAAATAACCATCATGCCTTCCTCATAGCATTGTTGTGAGAATTAAATGAGATACTATGTATAAAATCCATAACATAATTACCCCCAGAAGTAGCGCATGCTCAATACAGTTTAATTAACAGTATTGTTGCTTTCTTAACCTTCTCCAGGCACTTACACCAGAGAGAAGATTGTGCACACTATTGAGGCTATAGTGCTATGAAATGTCACCACTAAAGCAATGGTTTTCCATCTGTGCTCTGGGAAATTCCACGGCTCTTGGAACGAGCTCAGTGGTTTTACAAAAGAAAAAATTTAAATGGGGGAAAAATCATAACTTTTTGTTTTATATGTTGAGGTGAAAGTAAAATTTCATTTAAGAGAAAATGAGTACTACCACTAAAAAAGTGTGAAATTTTCTGTTCCAAAAAAACTAAACGTCCCTGATGGCTCAGAAACTTCATCATTCTAAATCATTCATAAGCACCGCCACCCTTGATTCGCCTGCTGGAGAGTAAGCTATCGTGTTTTTCTTGGTTGGGATTCTCTCTCTCTCTCTCTCTCTCTCTCTCTCTCTCTCTCTCGGCTCCTCCCCTGATTGCACTCTCTCTCTCTCAAAATATTAAACATTAAAAAAAGAAAAGTTGGGTTTTCTCCTCAAATTACTCCTTTATAATTTATTCACTCTTAATGAATAGCAGAAAATCTTCCTCCAAAAAATGAAAGTAAAAGAATAAAGAGTCCTAAACAAAAGACACAGAGTACATGTGCAGAGAGAATACAACAAGGCTATATTTTAATAACACTGTGGCATACAGAAGTAGGATGGATGGTAACCTGGTTTAGTAGAATGGAGAAAGCAAAAACAAGACTGTCTGCAGATGGCAGAAGGGACACAGGAGCCAACAAGAAGTTATCCAATTTTAATACAACTTCAGAAAAGCTCAAGACATTGGAATCACCAGTAACTTCTGAGTTCAGGATGAAGGTGGAGCTGAAATCAAAAGAATTGACTGACACCTTGATTAAAGAATGGTTGGACCCTAAGGTTAGCTTTCCCAACCTGTACAGCCAGACAACTACCTCCATCACTGCAGCAGAAGTTGTAAAGTTTTATTCTCTGGAGAAAGAGATCCAGGGAGACTGTAAAACTATTGGGCTAAAAATGGAAGGATTCATTAAATGTCTAAACACTGAACCCTGAGAGCCTTCTTCAACCTGACTTTGTAGGCATCCAAGCATATTTCCCACAGTAGGAAATTCAAAGATTGTTCCCCAGAAAAGTTGAATGTCCTCAAAAGAAAAAAAGAATATTTTGAAGTTACCCCCCAATATAGTCAATCCCTGCTTGATCACTCCATGATGAAACTCCTCCTTTGAAAATAATGGCTTGCAAACAGGATGTCTTAAACAGGAACAAAAGATAAGGACTAGATATTTCCAAAAACCTTTAACATTAAAAACAAAGAACAAGTAGATAAAGAAGGGATGCAAAAAAAAATCCACAAAAACTGTTCTGCTTCTCATATGACTGGTAAGCTCCTACCAGACCTGACCCTTCCATAGATAAAAACTGTGAACTCTGAAAATTAAAAACAAAAACAAAAACAAAAAAACTGCCACAGAACAGCTAAAACTCCAATAGAAATGCACAAACTTTCTGACCTAAAGAGCCAGAGAACAGAGTTTGGGGCAAACTTAAAGCTGTTTAAAGTGAAAGGGAAATCGTGGGGAAAAGAGATTCAGAGAGGGGAAACCCTAGATTCTGTATAAAAACTCTGGCCAAATGTCTGGCTGACTCCTGGGCCATCAATGTATGGGGCTGACTGTACATAGTCCAACCAAAAAAGAAACAAAACTAAACGAAAGTTTAACTAAAATTTGAGCTTCTGCACAAGAGACAGAGTTTATAATTTGAGTTTAAAGAAAGTAACTGCTTGGTAAAGCAAAAGTATATATACTCCTTAGAGGAATATAAAAAGAAAAAAAAAAGCCAGACATTCACAGTTTCCAGGATACAATTAAGAATTACTCAAAAAACAAAGAACCAGGAAAATATGGCCAAGGCTTGAGGAAAAGAACAGTTAGAGGACATCAACCCAGAGATGATTCACATATTGGATTAGCAGACAAATCCAGATTTTAGCAGTAGCTATTATAAAAACAGCTATTATAACTAAGCCTAATGGAGAAGAGGATAATGTATTTGTAAGAATAAAAAGTACAAAATCTTAGCAAATAGATACTAAAAGAGAACTAAATGGAAACTCCAGAATTGAAAAAATTTAGAAATGAAAATATAAGAAAATGAAAAAATCACTACATGGTGTAACAGAATAGCTTGAAGCTAAATCAATAGGTATAATCCAACCTACAGAACAGAGAGGGAGAAATGAATTGTTTTTAAGGGAGAGAAAAAGATTGATGAACCATGGAGAGGACATAATAGAAAAGTACTTAAATATATAATGACCAAAACCTTCCCAAATTTAGTAAAAGACATAAATTTATAGGTTCAAGAAGTTCAACAAATCCTAAGCAAGATAGATATAGAGAAAACCACACGTAGGTCATCAGAGTCAAATCAGTGTAAAGCAAAAATAAAGAGAAACTTTCAAAAGTAACCAGAAAAACAACAAATTACATGTAGAGTAATAATAATTCAAGTGACCAGAGACTTATCAAAATCTTCAGAGGTAAGAAGACAGTATAACAGTATCTTTAAAGTGCTAGTGAAAAATCAAAACTGACAATCCAAAATTTCATATATGATTAAAATATCCTTCAAGAAAAAAAGCAAGATAAAGACATTTTCACATTAAAAAAAATTTTAAGTAAAACCATGAATAGGCATGCACAATAAGAAATGTTAAAGACATTATTTAGACTAAAGGAAAATGATATCAGATGGAAACTTTAAACTTTAGGAAGGAATGTAGAGAATAAAACATTATATATATTTGAATATAAATCAGTTTTTTCTTAGTTTCTCTAAAATACATAAAACTGTTTAAAGCAAAAATTATGACATTATCTTGTAGCACTTATAATGTAGGAAGGTGTAACACTTATGATAACTATAGCATAGAGAAAGGGAGTCGGGGATAAAATAGAATCATACAGTTGAAGGTTTCTACACTTTATGTAAAGTGATACAATATTAATTCATTAACTCTAAGTAGACAATGAAAAGTTAAATTATTCACAGAAGTATATAGCTAAGGTCAGAAGATAAATTGGAATTCTAATAAAGTAGAAAAGTAGTTACAAAGGAATACGAAATAGAAGGATAAAAAGAAGACAAATAATAAAATGGCAAATTACATACATTATCAATAATTTCATTAAATCTTAATGGACTAAGAACTGTAATAAAAGGCAGAGATTGTAAGAATGGATTTTTAAAAAGTAAGACCCAACTTTATCTTGCCTGCAAGAAATACTTTAAATATAAAGACTCATAAGTTGAAAATTAATGGAGAAAAAAGTATATGAGAAGGCAAAAGTGACTTCATGGATAATAGGTCAAATAGACTTAAAAATAAAGAGCATTACTAAAAATAAAGAGACTCATTCCATAATAACAATAGTTGTTTCATTAAGAAGGCATAGCAGGGGCACCTGAGTGACTCAGTTGGTTAAGTGTGTCTGACTTTGGTTCAGGTCATGATCTCAGGGTGCATGAATTTGAGCCCCACGTTGGGCTCTGTGCTGACAAGTTCAGAGCCTAGAGCCTGTTTCAGATTCTGTGTCTCCCTCTCTTTCTGCCCCTCCCCCACTCATGCTCTGTCTCTGTCTCTCTCAAAAATAAATAAACATTTAAAACTTTTTTTTAAAAAAAAAAGAAGGCATAGCAATCATGATTCTTTATTTATCTAATAGCTTAACTTCAAAATACATGAAGCAGAATTTACAGAAATAGAAGGTGAAATAGATAATTGTACCATCATAGTCAGAGATTTTAACATCCATCTCTCATCAACTGATAGAAATAGGTAGTACAAATTGATAGAACAAAAAAGTCAGTAATGACAAAGGTCATCTGAGAAATTTCTTTAAGGAGAAAAGGAACTGATGTGTTTGATACTGAGAGGAATTTGGCAATTCTCTTCAGAGAATTTGTGGGAAGAATTAATGTTAGTTACATTCAAAGTCAAGAAAATCATGAAAACAAGACTAAGTTCAAGAAAAACAATAAATTAAAGAAAGAAAATAAAATCATAATAAATAATATGTGAACACATAATGATAACAACGTAAGCCCTGGGTATTGACCTAACCAAAAATTTTATACAACTTTATGATATTGGGAGACTGGTGCTAGAAGTGGGTCTCAGATGTGGTATAAGAAAGTTAAATCCTCCCTGCAGAAGATATTAAATTCTAAAATACATAAAGCAAGAACAGCAATATAAAACACCATTTAGATATAAGGTATCCTTTTATATCTGAAAGAGTCGGAAAGTATCTGCCTCTGGGAAAGCCAAACCCAGGAACATGGTGAAAACTAGGGCAGAGGATGGTTGAATTTGATTATAAGCCATATACCCACAGTACTCTTTGACTTCTTAAATTCTACACATCTATCACTTCTATAGATCTATAACTTAAATTTTCTGATTGGCTCTGTGATCTCATAATTCCACATTCAAGATTCCAGGCAGCTGTTACCTTTGTATTAGTGGCACCACTGAATTCAATGTTAATAAAAATTAAAAATCATAAGTAAATTATCAATTCACTCAAGAAATACGGCA